GTTTTTTGGGGGTAAGAAATCTCCATATCGTTGAAATGAATATGTGCTGGGAAGATAAAGAGTGGCTTTCTGGGCTAGGAATCTTGGCCTCTTCACAACTTGTTCTTGGGTCCATGTGCACCTATGTGAAAACTGTTTCATTCTTTTCAGAAAGAAAGAAGGACATGGAAGACACCTGATCTTCCCTGAGGTCTGTGGAAGCAGCAAAGGAATTGCAATACAAAACACTGCAAACAAAAGTAGAAAATATCTATGACATTTGTGAAGGAAGTAGGAAGGCCACAGAGGAGTAAGATGTTCCAGTGTTCATTGATACAAATACTGCTGAGTAGAATATATGTGTTGAGCAGACTACTGTAACATATTTTAGAATTATTTTGAAACTGTGCATCCCAAATTCACTTAGCACAATATTGTTCTCATCCTTCTTGCCTTGATTTCTGTAAGTGTAATTTTTCTTTTCTGTCTAACTGGCTGTCTTACATCCTTTTTCTTAGTTCATAATGAAACATATGCACATATAACAGACAGAGAGACAGAGACAGAGGCAGAGACAGAGAGGAAGAAAGAGGGACCAGCAGATGGCACAATCGTTACATTGCTGGAATCCCATGTAGTTCTACAGTTTGAGTCCTGGACCTAGCAGCCTGAAATTCCAGGGTATTTATGCATGTGTGCATTCCCAAAATCCCAAGAGGAGAATAGATGAGCAGAGATTGCAGCATGGTCACCCGCCTTGGGGAGTAATTTCTTGCTTTCTGTCTCTCTGATTCTCTCTGTCTCTCCATTGAGAATACACACCCTATAGCAAAAATATCTCTCTCTTAAAAAAAAAAAGAAGAGAGAAAGAGAAAGGGATAAGAGCACACACAACTCAAGAGAGTCTGGTCATACAATGATTCCTTTCCTCCAGTCATTCCATCCATCACTTCTTGGACATTTGTGGGTAAGCCTGGCATGATTCAGTCTAAAATTCAAAATGATGTCACTGCTGAGACCAAGTTCCTCTTTAGTGGTGCATTATTGTTGCAATACTGTCCTGGCCCATACCCTCTCGTTTGTAATAATTTTGAGGGCAGTGAGACATTGATACCAGCATTAATATGTTCTATATCTTACATCTGGATACCCTCTGGGTCCATTCCTATAGTCATTTAGGTTTTGATCATATTCCATTGTACTGTCCTGCTATGCCGTGGTCTAGCCTCGGCCTGGATGGGTTATCTCGACGAAGGCGGCGAAGGTGAACAGAAGACAGAGGCCTCGATGCCTTTTCATGCACGTCCTATGCCGGACACCCCTCAGAGGTGGCCCTCTGAGGAGTGACAATTGCTAGGAATTATCATGCCTTTTTATTGAAAATGTGTTACATACAAGTAAATGGGAGAGGGGCTAGTGTTTCGATTAACAGCTCATAAAGTTTTTAACAATAAAGAACATAGATTCTATTCAGGGTTTGATTAAGGGTGGGTCTAGTGCAGTTCCTCAATAGTAGGTGGGTCTCCATGAAATGCAGTTTTGGGAAAGCGGTTCCAGAAAGCAGAGATGATTATCAGCTGATGCGGCGTAGCAGCCATCTTGTGATTACTGGGAATGGTGCTGAGAAAAGAAAACCTCAAGAATAGATATTAGTTTTTATGGATTTTAATAAAGAATGATACTTATACAGTTTTGTAGGGATCTATAACTTAATTTGAGGAATCCTAATATATTTATCTATTTCACTTGGAGAGGGCGGAGGTGTCCTGGGCTAGTTTTGGCCTAATCCTATTTTAGGTAAAGAAAGGATGTATTTTAAAGGGCCTTCCAAAGGTCAAGATTAATTCTGCCTAGAAAGAACTTCAGTCCACCCTCTATTGTGACTATGGAGGTAAAGCATTGTAATTAATAGTAAGTGATCAGAGCAAAGGGAAGCGGTCAGTTGGGGGACTTCCTGGAAGATTTTATCGTACACTCAGGATGTATAGGAGAGCTATGCAATTCTTTTATAGTAGTAAATTGGGGAGTCAGAGAGGAGTCGCTTCCCAGTGAGGCTGCCAGTTTCTAGAGCAAATAGCAAACAGCCTTGCTGACATGCTAAGTGACCCAAGCTTTGTTCCAAGGTTGGGGGGGGTGCACAACAGTGGCCTTGCCAACGTGTTGATCTGACTGGAAATGGAGCTCAAAGGTTGGGGGGCTCAGACCGATCCTGGGGCCTCACCGTGTCGGACTCCTCCACTGCTAGGTATTGTGTTATTTTTTATTCAGCATCAGACATTGACTGGACAGTATTTAGAGAAAAATGGAGCCCTGATATGCTGTGATCTTGCTGCAGAAAAGTTGCAAAATGAGAAATAGCTATTGACTGTTATAAAAAATAATTAGAATAATAAAAATAATGATTGGGGAAAACATAGAAAAGATATTGCATGTTGAAGTGGGGAGATTAATGTCTCTGTACTGACTGACATGCATGGCATTTCCTTTTGAAAAAGCAATGTAATACACTGTAAAGTTATATGTAATCCAATGTAATATAAAGAAGATTATGATGATAATAAAAAATTTAAAAAAATAAAAAGAAAAAAAAAAGAAAAGTAAAATAAGTTGGGAGTTTGTTCATGGCTCAGTCCCAACAAAAGCCAGTATGTTTTCTGTCCACCTTATCTCTAGTGTGAAATTCTTGGGCCCAATCAAAGCCTTTAGGTTTCATAGGGGATCACCTTATTGACAGACCTTAAACTCCACTTGCTTTCCTCCTTTTTTTTATTTTTTTTTGTTGTTGTTGTTATAGATAGGGTATGTGCACTCACCAGAAAGAAAGAGACAAGAGACAGAAAGCGAGAAATCAACCCCCAGGAGAGATGGCCACACTGTAGTCTCTTCTCTTCCATTCTCCTCTCCAAATCTAGGGCACACACACACACACACAGCATGAGTTTAAGCCACCAGGTCCGTGACTTAAACCGCAGTTGACTATATAGGAGTACAGTGACATAGCCATTATGCCAACTGCTGATCCCTCCACTTGTTTTTCTTCTAGCCCACACATGTGTTCAGCTTCTTTGAACCTCCAAAGTGTCCACCCAGAATTCATTGATGAGACAAAGGAGAAAAGACCCAAATGCCCAGCTGGACAGAGTCCTGGGTTTCTTTCTTCATTGCCTCATGTTTCTACACTGGCTCCTTACCAGTTTTTGTCATTGTTTCCTGTGGGGACATGTGCTGAGCAAACACCACATGCTCTTTTGGGGTTTGGCAGAACCTTGTAACTTGTCTTTCCCTGACCTTGGCTGCAGACAGAGCAAGGGTGGAAATTACTAGGGGCGTTCCAACAGACACATCTGATGGACTTCAAGAAACATCTTGACCCCTAATGTAGAGGCACTCTGAAGCTAATAGTTTTCCAGTGGAAATGTTCTTGCAGGAGCTGACACCCTTGTTATGAAACTTGAATCACTTTTCACTTCAGTAGATGTGGCCAGCACTGAGATTATCCTCTCCCCCTAACCAGGATCTTTGAAGGAGGATGTAGGAGTTCCATCCTGAATTGTAGAAATGTCAGGGACTGAATCACAGGGTGAATGACACCAGGATTTCTGGAAGGCTGAGTGTGTGAACCACCATCTTTTCTTTTAAGGAGGGCAGCTCTCCCCATGGCAGGAGGCAGACAAACCCTCATCTCCTGCCTCACCATGATGTGTGTAGTTGTGAGGAGATGAACTAAAATGAGTTTTTACTTTCCCAACAAAGAGACTGACAAAAAAGGACACTAATGCTTCTCCTAGATGGTTTTATCTTAGCTGATTTATGTAGTATTGAACAGAGCACAGAGCTATGAAGAGAACCTTGTATTTGGCAATTACTTTCCCTCGGACCACAGTTTAATTTTTCTTAGTCTCTCCTTAAGAGACATCCTTTTCCATCTGTCAGAGTTTGTCATTCTGTACAGTCGTAGAGGAATTTGGGAAGGGACTTTGAATCAAGACCTTAGAGATGGCTAGGAATTTCATGTGAGCTACTGGATAATGTGTATTTCCTTCCCATCTTAGGAAGCTATTTATGAAATGATGTGAATGGGAAGAGAAAGAAAAGAAGCTGTCAATTGCACAAGATAAAGAGAAGTCAGCAGTGAAAAAATACTGTATTTAAAGTGAGTTCAGATACTGAACATCAGTATCGAAGGCAACCTTCATTGGATTTTCTTGTATTTTAATCTTTACAAAATAATTAGACTCAATTAACACAGAAATATAAAGAAATGGTCAAAAGGATTTTTACACACATGCACACTCTCACACAGAGAGAACCAGATAAAAGACTAACGAGGCAGTGGGGGAAGAAATAACTAAATAATGTTGAGTTACTAAAAGTTACCTGAACCCTAGGGCTGGTTAGATTATGCGGAAACTTGGTTCACATAAATATTTCTTGGGGTGTTGAAAATAGTCTCAATTCCTAGGAAAGCAATTTGATGTAGGCTAAATCATGTTCACAAAAGTAATTGTTTCATTTTATAAACCCAGTTTTCATTGCCCTGTGAAATATACTAAAAAAAATAATTGAGCTTTGTGATAAAAGATTCTCAAAAGAAGTTTATGTAGAAATATTGAGATGGGTTAAGAAATCTTATCAACTGGGGACTCTGCTAAATTCCATAATGGATAAGGAAACTGTACAGCAATTACTTTAAACCTACTGTACATTCGTGTGACATGTACTATCTGTGGATAAATTGTGTAAGGATACAGTTGTGAGGATAACAGGAACATGGGATGATTATTGAAAATGATACTCAATGTCGTGCTTTGTCTGATAAAAGCAATGGTTCATTATAGAAAAAAAACTGGAGAAATTCAAGAACAAGTGCAGAAAAAAGAGAAGCGCCTTCAACACCAGATAACCTGCATTCTTTCAATAGTTGCAGAATCCTCCAGTACCTGAAAGAGGTGATTATAATTGCCCTTAGCAATTCTAAACATACTGTGCCCTATGTGTTTTCTTTTTCAGATCATCATTTATGAAAAAAAAGACTCATGACAACTGGGTAAGATTATTTTCTTTCCTTCATTCTGTGCATAGTTGGTCACAACTGCACATGGACATGTTTCTCTCCTGTAGCTCAGGACTTGTGCCGTGGACAGGGCAGTGGCAGAAGAAATCAGGGAGGCCACCTACTTGAAGGAACGGTATGACATTGGGACATTGGAGTTTATTTTTTATTTCTTCAGAGAGGCAGACAGACAGCAAGAGAAAGACAGGTTCCCTCACAGGGTCTTCTTGCTGCTATCTACATACAGACCAAGGCACCAAAGTTTATGGGCATGTGTATGTCTTGTGTGTACAGTGAGATGTTGGGGTATAAACTAGGGACCTTCCCATGAGGTTCTACCATCATAAAGTCTTGTATAAATACTGTTCCCCTGTGGCTGGTGAGTTATGGACAGTTTTGACATTACTCTTAGTGTATTAACATTAAGAAGCTGAGAACTAGTAAAAGGTTTCATCTTGCATTAGCAATGAGAAGAAGACCCTAGGTTATGAAAGTAAGCATAGGGTCATAAGGAGGGGCTTTCTGGTAGAGCTGGTATGAATTGGTACCTGCCTCACTGATGTTGCGATTCTTATCAACCTCATTCTTTATCTGCAAGTTTGACAATAAGGCAATATTGGAGGCTGCCCAAAGGACACAGGCTGCATCCAGCACCAGGGGGATCCAGCATGGACAACCCTGAATGGAAAGGTAGGAGCACCCTGAGAAAGTGACAGCTCAGATCCTGCTACAGAATACCTGTTGTTTCTGGGGTGACTAATACTGCTAACCTCAGGTGCCCCACCCAGATGGCTCTTTGGGCCAACCCCGTGAATGGTGGTGCTCAGGTTCCACCACTGACTGTGGACACCAGAGCTCCACCTCTCATTTATGTTTCACTGAAGAGTGTGCCTATAAGGAAGGTGGGTGAGCTCTTCTATCTCACTGTGAGTCAATGTGAAGGCTTCATCACACTTTATTGTTATGCTTGGAACAAACTACATTAACAGAATTTCAGAATGGCACCTGTAGGTTCTAGTGAAAGAATTTTTTTTTTCTTAAATCTACTTCCTAGATAAATAGTCTATTGTATGTCTGCTTTTAGAAAGTAGACATTGGGAACCAGCAGTTAGCATAATTGCTATGTCGCTGGATTCCCATGTAGTCGAGCGTGGTTTGCGTCCCGGACCCAGTGGCTCAAACTCACGCTGGGCGCATGTGTGTGCGTGCCCAAGATCCCAAGAGGAGAGTGGAGGAGAAAGGATTGCGGCATGAACATCCCCCCTGGGGGGTGATTTCTCCCTTTCTGTCTCTATGTCTCTCTCTGTCTGTCTGGCGAGCGCACATGCCCTATAGCGAAAAACCTCTCAAAAAAAAAAAAAAAAGAAAGAAAGAAAGTAGACATTTATTTAGAGGGCTTTTTTTGAGATTTTTTTTGTTCTTTATCTGTTTTGATTTTTTAACTATGAACTGTACAACTCTAGTAAATTTAATTCACATAATTTCACTCCTCTGAAATTGTGTATTCTGAAATCCTTACAGTTAAATCACATAGCACTGTCTTTTTTTCATTGGTTTCATTACTGTTATAAGTCCATTTCTGTTCATAGACATTTACACAAAACCTTATGTGATATGGAATGCAAATTATATATAGACCTAGAAGAAAAAAGTACACTGTGGTTTGAAGAAAAAGACTGGTGCTATTCTTGCCAGGATTGGTTGATACTCTTCCTTTTCATGAATTTTTTTAGCCTATGTTTATATTGTACTTTTACCTCAGGTGTAGTAGGATACTCCTATTTTAGTGTTGATTTCCAGTTAGTTGGAACCCTAGTCTATCTGCCAGTGGTTGGTTTGTTTTGAAATCCCCTAAATCAGGGTTCTGCAATGCCTTTCTCACAAGTCAGGGCATGGGTTTCTCCATTGTCTTCATGGATCATCTGAGGCATGTGGTAAACTCCCTCCCTCAACTAAGGGACCTACATACGTGAACTATAGCAAGATAGTGAGGGAAGGCATGCAGGGGTTGTTATTCTACTGCACAGAAAGTGCAAGTCACACTAAACCCCAGACTTGTCTGGCCATAGGAGATTCTGTATGTCGTGCATTTCCCATGGAGAGAAGCTGCATGATCCCTCCTGAGGATGCAGGAAAGAAAAAGGTAAATGCTGAGGCCCTTTCCAATGTGATGATGTCAGGAAACCTTAACTTTTCATGTGGTACCTCTCCTGGTGTGTGCTCTGTGTCTTTTTAAAAAGCAAAATCTTGGGACCAGCAGTTAGCATAATGGCTATGTCACTGGACTCCCATGTAGTCGACCACGGTTCGAGTCCTGGACCCGGTGGCTTAAAACACACTGGGAGTGTGTGTGTGCATGCCCAAGACCCCGAGAGGAGAACAGAGAGGAAGGGATTGCGGTGTGGCCATCCCTCCTGGGGAGTGATTTCTGCTTTCTGTCTCTCTGTCTCTGTCTGGCGAGCGCATGCACCCTATAGCAAAAACCTCTCCAAAAAACAAAACAAACAAACACAAACAAAATCTTTCCCAGGAGCCTACAGAATTCCCAGCTCATTGGAATTTTATGACATCTCCAGAAGGGTTAGAGCCTGAGGCGTGAGGTTTCACTCCTGTACATCCGGTGAGAAGACAATATGTCAGGGAGGGAAGCAAAGGGCCATGAGGGAGGGACTTGCAGTCAGAGTTGGTATGAATTGCCTTTCTACCTCCTGTAAACAGTATTAACCTGAGAAAACTATTTTCTCCCCTGGGAGTCACTGGTCTCTTGGTGTCAGAGCAGATATTCTGTTAAGTATGTTTAGATCTTTATTAGTTTATAGAGTTCTGAAAATCAAATAGGACAAGAAAGACCCAGAGAAAGTTTTCCTCAGATAGCTGTTCCTACATGTAGGGTAAACAGACTCTTTATTTGCTCTCAGTTCTCTGTTAACTTGTTGGTAATGAGTATCTGTGGTGGGGTTGGTGAAGGAGAGGTGGGACTTGTCCAGGACATAGATGCTCCTGTGTCTGGAATATGCCCTGTTATTATTCTGCAATTGTCTTATTTCATCCATTGGGACCGATCCCTAGCCTTTCCTACATGGACAGACCCAGGCCATGACATGTGGTAAGAATAGTTTATTCCTATGACTCCCCCTCTCTCCCTTCACTTTTTCCAGAACTCAGTGTAAGGGAGATTTTTGTGGCCATTATGAGTACTGGTAGAAGGTAAGGGGCCAGGGACTGTCACCTGCTTCACTTTCAGCTTTGTGTTGGTATCATTCACTATCATATCAACATAATTTGACCTTCTTCTTCTCTGCAGGTCAACATGGCTGGCAAAGAGCCCCCTCCTATCCCAGGACTGCCCCAGATGCCCTACCCCAAGCAGGGCCATTTATCATCAGATATGTGTCCTGGGCTACTGCCGCCACATCTACCACCTCCCTGTCTACCACAAGGTAAGATGATCTTAGACCAGTGAGCTGATTTGGAAGGCATTGTCATCTCTGGAGTCAATTAAGAAAATTAGGATGTGTGGCTGTTAGTTCCATGCCCAGGGGCAGAAAATGATGTATCCATGCAGATATCACAGATGGTGTTACAGGGCTTCACAATCAAGCTGGCTGAACACATTGTAGCTCTTCTTCTCAGGTTTCTTAGGACAGCATAGACTATTTCTTCTTCCCAGCATGAGGTGACCAGTGGATCTTCTCTTATAGATGAGTAAATAGGTTCTGTATTCAAGAAATAGCAGTTTTGTACACATGCAGGGATCACTGGCCATACTTGCCAGCCCTGTGAGGGATTAGACACATCCCGACTTCTAGAGCTACAGATGTCATAGGTGTGACACACCTAAAGTGTCACAGAGCTTGAGATCACCAATAATAAAAGCACCAAGGGAGGAAAGGACCCCAAGAGTACAATGTGGGAGAGTGAATGTCCTGGTATTAATCAGGAGAGAAGACAAAGTGAGGAAGCACCATGTGGGAGTTTGTTGACCTCAGTGACACCTGGAGATCTACATTTGAGATCAAAAGACAAGATCTGAAACCTGGGAAGGAGCTGGAAGGCCTCCCTGGCAGGCCAGGCCTCTAGGGCAAGAATCCTGCAGGCAGCTTCAGACCCATTCAAAGTCACTGAGAAACAATCCAAATGATCAAGTGCGGGCTGGGGAATGTCCCCTCCTCCCAATTAAAGTCAGGTGCTTAGTCTACAGCCCTGCACCTGTAATCTGAAGTAAAGATGGTTGGGTCTCTCTGATGTGTGACACTTCTGGATCAGTGTGAAATGGGCCCAGGAGGTTGGGGGAAATTTCATCTGGATTTGTCAGGTGAATCTGTCTTTCTGAGTTTATGTTCTGGTGACACTCAAAGCAAGGACAGGTCTAGTCAATGTCTCTGGACTCTGGCATGAGGCCAACACCAGTGGGGAGGTCAAGGCTGTTCCTGAGGTGCTGACTGGGTGTCTGTCCCCACAGTCCCACATTCTCCCCTTACCTCCCTGCCTCAGCTGCACACAGGTACTTGCCCATGCTTTTCTCATATTCTGCCATCTCAGTGTCAATGTTAACAATTCATGGACCTGCTCTGAGCCTCAGTTTTGTTGCCCATGACATGTAAATACTGATTAATTGCTCACAATGTTGTGAGGCAAAGAGGAGGAAGTATAGTGGGAAAGTATCTCCCACAATGGCTAGAACTCAGTGGGCACCTGCCTTCTCACAGTGTTAGTGAAAACATTTGCCCATAGATTGTCTAAGGATGTCCATTGCAGTACATTAAACAAACCTAAGGGTGATCAGATTGGACCCAGAGACTGGCAGGCCCGTTTTCTAAAGATAAAGCAGTTTCAGGAACCAGAAGTTAGCGTAATGGCTATGTCACTGGACTCCCACGTAGTTGACTGCGGTTCGCGTCCTGGACCCAGTGGCTTAAAACTCACACAGGGTGCATGTGCGTGCATGCCCAAGATCCCAAGAGGAGAATGGAGGAGAAAGGATTGCGGCATGACCATCCCCTCTGGGGGGGTGACTTCTTGCTTTCTGTCTCTCTGTCTCTCTCTGTTTTTCTGGTGAGCTCATGTGCCCTATAGAAAAAACCTTTCCAAAAAAAAAAAATGAAAGAAAGAAAGAGAAAAAGAATAATACATTCATAAATGAATAAAAGACTAATGCAGGTTCAAGTCAATAAGACAGGGACTGGTTTGTATATACATTGTTTGAAAGTTACAATAAAAGGTTAACTTACCAATTAACAAATAGCAGAATATGTTTAGGGTTTAGTGCTCCTAATCTTATGATGTTAATGTCAAAGGGGATTCCATAACTCTGGAATAGTGCTGGCCATACACTGGTTTCATGAGGTAAAGGTTGTAGTCACAGGTTCTTCAGAAGCCCCAGCTATGCTCTGAAGCTTGGTCTCAAGGAAGGCAGAATAGTGAGGGATGGGGAAGAGAACTCAATGCCTACTCTAAGTCAATCCCAACATTGACTCTCATAGCACCCTTACAGTCTTTGTGAGTCATTGATCTTCCACCAGTTCCCTGGAGCAGGTGTGTGAGTCAAACATTGCATCCACATTCTACAAGTGCAATCGAGAACACATGTTCCAAATAACAGTAAAAACATTATTACATGATTAGAAACATTTCTTTCAAAGCTGCTAAGGGGTAACAAAAATAAGCAGAAG